GGAAAAAGCTGAAAGCTGGGGCTGAAGGAGGAAGACTGTTCTAGCAGTTGCCTTTCTAATGATACAAATCAATTCATCTTGAAGGGACGATGTGTTTCTGCTTTAATCCATTTATTTTACTGATGGCGAGGATAAATTTAACAACATACAAATTTAATTTAAAAATAAGGCATTTCATTTTCCACGGCCACTTCCTTGTTCTCCATTATCAATTCTCCCTTTTCAGATTTTAAGAGGCTTACATTTTTTTCACTAATCTTTCTCTTTTTGCATACGGAAGTTCTTATAATCTGTTCTTAATCAATTTTATTCTCATACTCTATTTTACCCCGCTGAATCAACCTCTTAGTCTTTCTTTGCTGAATTCTAAACTGCTCACAGTTCCTCGGATTGCTACTTTTTCTCTCAACTTAATATGATTCTTTATTGGATCTATTACTATCCTTAATTCCTTTTCTCCTAAAAGGAATGTATAACCGTTGCATGTACCTATTCATTCGACAAATATTAGCCTTTGCATATCCACTGTCTTGTCTTTTAGTGCCCAGTTCATCGCAGCCAACTCACTCATCATACTTTTGTAATTTCCTTTCTTTCAATTTTGGACTCTAGATTCAGATTGGACTTCTTCACTTTCTATCGCAATCAAGAAATTTATCATGTTATGGTCACATTTTCTAAAAGGACTTTTCATGACAAGGTTATTAATTAACCCTTTCTCATTGCACAAAACCAAATCTAGGATAACCTATTCTCGACTTGGTTGTTCAACGCAATGGTCTAAAATAACATCTCATAGGCACATCCAGAATTCATTGTCCACACTTCATTCTTAATTTGGTTTGCTCAGTCTATGTGTAAATATAGAACATCCATCATTACTTTAGCAACTTCATTGTGTGCATCACTTACTTGCTTTATAATTCCATCCCTTTCCTGACCACTATTGTTTGGAGACCCATAGACACAAACTCCCACAAATGTTTTCTGTCCCTTGTTGCTTCTTAGCTCCACCCAGACTGTTTTTACATCCAGATTTTATCCATTCTCACTATCGCATTGACTCCACCTTTCACCAACAATGCAAACTCACCTCTTTTTCCTGTTTGCCCATCTTTCCCAAAGATTCCCTTTGAATGTTCAGCTTGCACCCTTGGTCACTCTGCAGCCATATCTCTGTAATCACAATCGTATTGTGATCCCATTTATAATGAATTATGCTATTAATTCATCTGCTTTATTGTGAATGCTCCATACATTCATATTTAGTACCTTTTGATTTGTCTTTTTTGACATTTTTAAACATTTCTTTTATGCTACAGTTCCAACTGTTGATTGCCCTTGTTTCCACTGTCTTCCACTTTTACTTTCTACTTTTCTACCTTTAGTTTCCTTCTTTGTTTCTTTCATTATGGTCTCCACCCTCCCCCTGCCCCCTTAGAATCCAATCCCCTCCCACTCTAGTTTAAACACTCCACAACAATATTTGTGAAAACCCCTGTCAGGATGTTGGCCCAGTCCTGCTGGGGTGCCAATTTGTGCAACTTGTTCAGCTCCTATCTTCCCCAGATTCAGTCTGGATGCTTCAAGAATTTAAATCCTTCCCTCCTGTATCATCCATCCAGACACATTCAACCAGTCTATTTTCCCATTCCTAAGTCTTGCTAGCATATGGCACTGGGAGGAATCCTGAGATTTTCACCTTTGATTACTGGAAGACAACTTTCTAAGTTATTTCCTTGCTCCCTATATTCTGCTTGCAGGACCTCAGCTTATACCCAAGTCGTTGGTACTGACATGGACACAACCTCCGACTGTTCTCCCTCCCCCTTCACAATGTTCTACAGCTGCTCAGTGATATCCTTGACTTAACACCAAGTTATGAAATCACTGATCACATACTACTGTCACATCTGCACAATCCCCTTACGTTAGAATCCCTGACCACTTAATGCACACATAGTCTTTTTCTCTATCCCTACCATTGCAGCTGAATCAGCCGTGGATTTGGCTGTTCCTGCACTCTGCTGAGACACCATCACTCTCTACAGTAAGCAAATAGAGAATCTGTTAGAGAGGAAGGTGGCCCATCGGGATTTCTTCTATTACCTGCCTAATGTTCTCCTCTGACCGCAGACAACCACTTCCTTTTCACCTGTGCACACTTCACCTGTGGTGTCACCATCTCGCTGTACTTGCCATCCACTAAGGTCTCAGCCTTGCAGATACTCCACAATGACACCAACTGCCACTCCAAATACAAAACACAGAATTCCTGTAGCTGCAGCTTGAGACACTTCCCATGCATGCATGTCATCATGGACATTGGAAGGGTCCCTGACTTCCCACATTTCACAGGAAGAGTATTCCAGCTGCCCTTCCATGACTTACCCATAAATTAGTCTCTTTTCATTACTTTCTCTACTTTAGCTAATATTAAATATATACCTCACCTGGGCCATGTTCCTTAAACACTCTTAATCTATACTAAAGACCAATTCGTGACTGTTTTCATTGGAGCGTCTAAGACTAAGAGGAGGTCTGATAGAGGTTTTCAAAACCATGAGCAGGCCAGACAGAGTAGATAGGGAGGAAGTGCTCCCGGTCAGAAAAAGAACAAGAAAAGAGGATGTAGATTAAAAGTGATTTGCAAAAGAAGAAAGAATGAAATGAGGAAAAGCATTTCTACTCAGTGAATAATTTGGTATGGAATGCACTGCCTGGAAATGGAGGTGGGGCTAGGTTCAACTGAGGTGTTAAAGAGGGCTTTGGATGATTATTTGGATAAAAATAATTTGTGAGGTCACTGGGATAAAGCAGGATATTGGCACAAAATAATGATGTTCATTTAACAAGCTGCCGCAGGCATGATGAGCTGAATGACCTCTTTCTGTGCCATAACACTTCTGTCATTCTGATACTTTAAAGACTGGATAGCAGATGTACTCACTTGATCTTACCTATTCAACACTGTCACTTGTTTTGTGTTGGCCTCTGTTCCTACTTGATGAGCTTATGTTTTCCTTGTGATGTCACTCCTGAATGTTTTCAAAATTTACCCCTCTTGTGCAGCTTTTCAACTCCTAGTTTCCCTGAGGCTGAAGATAGAAAAAGAAAATGGGAAAGAGCGGCTCATGGTTTCCCTTCTCAGCATACTTCCCTTTTACTAATCTTGCAGTGTTACCATCCTACACCAGAGCACTCTTTGACAAAGTGCTTAAACTCTCCTATACGATACCAAGTCATATAGGGAAATAATATGGTGGAAGACCATAAAGCTTAGCCACAGTTGCAGGTTTTAATGAGGATGTTAAAAGAGGAAATCAAAATAGAGAGGCAGAGAAGATTATGGAGACAATCCCATTGCAGATGGCCAAGGCTTTTGAAGTCACCTGATGGTGGAATAGTTAAAATTGGGCATGCTTGGGTGAATGGCTTAGAGGGGAACTTGCAGTTGGTGGTGCTGGCCTTGTCCCAGATGGAAATGGTCATGGGTTTAGAAGTTGTTGTCTGAGAAGCCTTGGTGAATTTCTGCAGTGTATCTGGGAGATGGTACATTCTGCCACTACTGAGTGTCAGTGGTGGAGGAAGTGGATGTTTGTAGATGTGACACTGATCAAGCGGGCTGCTTTGTCCCAGGTGATGTCGAGCTTTTTGAGTGTTTTTGGGGCTGCACCCATCCAGTCAAGTGGGGAGTATTCCATCACACACCTTACTTATGACTCTCACATAAATGATGAAGTCCCTCTGCATCAGGACAAGCCTTGGGAGCAACCAAAATGCAGCAAGAACAACTGGTTAGTTTATTGGTATTGATGACATTAACACAAATGGAATGACACTCTGCTCAGATTAGGCAAGAATGTCTGCCATTGCCTTTGCTTCTGAACACTTCTACCATTATTCACTGGAAGAGACAACTTAACAAATGAGCCTGACTACAGGGTACTCCATTTCTGAAGAAGGGTCCAGACCCGAAACGTCAGCTTTCCTGCTCCTCTGATGCTGCTTGGCCTGCTGTGTTCATCCAGCTCTACACCTTGTTATCTCAGGTACTCCAAAGGGCTTTTTTCAAAGGGCTACTTCCTGCTTCAAAGCCTCTGCAAAGAATGTCAACCCAGTTGCAGAGATATCATTTGGAGATGACATGCAAGCAAAGGAAACAGATGTACATTGCTGACGTGCTGTCAAGCTCAGCATTCCCAGTGAAGAAACTAGGGGATGCTATTCCAAGTTTGTGGATTACACAAAAGTAGGAGGGAAGGCAAGTTGTGAGGATGACACAGATGTTCTATAGAGGGATACAGTCAGATTAAGCGAGTGGGCAAAAACGTAGCAGATGGAATATAATTTGAGGTTATACTATTTGGCAGGAAAATAGAAAAACTGAATATTATTTAAGTAGAGAAATATTGCAGAAAGCTACAGCACAAAGGGATTTGGAAGTCCTTGTACATAAACCTCAAAATCTAGTACATAAGTTCAGCAGGAAACAGGAAAAGCAAATGGAAAGTTGACCTTTATTTCAAAAAGAATGGGGTGCAAAAATAAGGAAGTTCTTGCTTAAACTATACAAGATACTAGTTAGACCACAGCCAGATTATCATGAACAGTTTTGGACCTGTTTTTAAGGAGAGATATACCGGCATTGGAGGCAGTCCAGAGAAGGTTTACAAGGCAAATCCTAGGTATGGAGGGATTGTTTCATGAGGAGAGGTTGAGTAGGTTGAACCTGTACTCATCGAAATTTAGAAGAATGAGAGGAGACATTATTGAAGTGTATACTGTATATACCCATGTAAAAGTCGAATTTGTTGGACAATTTTTCAGGCTAAGTTTATGGGGTCGATTAATACATGGATACTACTTTTGAGGGGCTGAAATTCATGCTACAATCCCTAATATCGAATCATTAGCAGAGGCCCAAATGATCTCTAAACGAATGAAAAAAAACACAACAAATTACGGTGATTACCAGATAAAGACAATAGAAACAAAAATGAATTAGTAAGCTTTTATTTATACATACAAAAAGCGAAGTAGAAATATAATACGGCTTTAAATTACAATTACATGGTACGTCTTAAATTAAACATCAAATACAAAAGTTCATTACAATCCTGCAAAATCACATTGTTCAACATCTTCAGCACAGAATAAAACTTCATAATCGTCAGGATAAATGGGATCCTCTTCATCTTCGCTGTCCGTAGTTCGAGGTAGCACATCATCTGCTTCTTCTTCAACTTCATCACCCCATAGATAATCGTCCTCTGTACCATCCAATACATTCAAAATTCCACATTTCTTGAATGACTTGAAAATACTGTCGGCTTTTATTTCCTTCCATGAAGCAAATATCCATTCACAGATCAGTGGCCTGCACACTGCTTCCTTTCGTGTATGTTTTTTCCTCCATCATGCATCCAGTTATTCCACTTCATTTCCTCACCGTAACATTTATGTTAAGGATCATACCTTGACTCACAAATGTTGATCTGTTCTGTGAAGAAGTAGGGTCAACTTTTACATGAGATATATGGAAAAGGCCACATTTTTTGGCCAAAAATAGGGAGTCAACTTTTACATGAGATCGACTTCTACTCGAGAAAACGGTAAGATTCTTATGGGGTGTGACTGGGTAGATGCTGAGAAATGGTTTCCCCTAAAGTCAGAGTCTATTTTATTGAAACATACAAGATTCTTAGGGCACTTGGCAGGATAGATGCAGGAAGGTTGTTGCCCCTTGTGGGAGAGTCTGGGACTAGAGGGCATAATCTCAGATTAGGAGTTGCTCATTTAAAACACTGAAGATGATGAGGAATTTCTTCTCTCAGAGGGTAATGTATTTGTGGACTTCTTTACCACAAAGGGATGTGTTCATTAAGTATATTCAAGGAGGAGACAGATAGATTTTTAATCAATAAAGGAATCAAGGATTATGGGGGAAAGGACAGGAAAGTGGAGTTGAAGATTATCAGATCAGCCATGATCTCATTGAATGGTGGAGCAGTCTTTGTGGGCTGAATGACCTATTCTGTTCCTGTGTCTTATGTTCTTCAGGTAGTGAAAATTGACAAGAAATCAAACTGATAATGCATGACAGCAGTTGTGTGCGTTGTAGGCAACATGGGTAAGTCATGTAAAATGTAAATAATAATGCACGCAGAATGTTTTGGATACAGGGGAAGATGTTTGAGATAGAAATGCAATAACATACTAATATACTCTGTAGGCATCCATCCCACAGCTAGTTCATTAATGACACCACACAAACCAAAGTACCATCACATGAACTTGTAACACTAATCTTGCAATAAGTTTCAAGTAAGAGAAAGTAGAATCAAATTTCTAGCAGATCATAAACAATTGGAGTGCATTTTGAGACTGCCTGGTTATTTGAATTGCAAATATGTGAAACAATGAGAATGAGAAAGGGCACATTTAATGTCACATCTTTATGATCTGAGCACCAGGTAGTTCTAATCCATATGAATGTAATTTTTGTGCTGCTCAATGAATAAGAATGACTCATTTCTGCGAACTGGTTAGGTAAAATAACAAACATACATTGTGTGGGCCTGCCACTGCATGACCCAGTTCAAAAAAGTCAAGAAAATAAAAACAGAGAGCGTTGAAGAAACAAAGAGGGTCTGGCAGCATCTGTTGAGAGAAAACAGGGTTAATGTTTTCAGTCCAGTGACTCTTCATCAGAACTGACAAAAGGGTAACATTTACGCTGATGATGAGGTGACATGTTTGGAGTGAATAGAGTATATGGAGATGGAACCCAGAAAAAAGACAGGGAAAAAAGGGGAGAAGCAAACAAAGAGACAACAGATGATAGGCCGAGAGAGAGAGAGAGAGAGAGATAAATACCAAGTTATACACAGAGAACCCGAAAGAAAGCTAAATGGTTGCTGCTAAATGCCTCATACTAGTTGGCTTGAGGATGTTACAGACAGGTTACTGAGATAGGGAGAGGCAATGCCATGTGGGGATTTAAATACAAAATTCATATCTCCCAATTTCTGGGTGTGAGCCTGCAACTCTTGAACTGCTTGAGCCCCTTGAAAATAAGGTAGAAGATATATAAAATTTGTGTAAATCTGCATTTCCTTCATAATAGCACGTCCACGAGTATCTCCTGAACTGCTGTGGATTCTATATCACTACCAGTATCCCCTGTATGCCAGAACTGAGTGAGGAGCAATGTAAAGAAACCATGTGCTTCAGGAAACGCCCCCTTTAAGTTACAAAGTCCTTATAAGAAGGATAAAAGGGAATCGGGACAATGCTCTACGGAATGCTGGGGCATCACATTTCGCGACTAAGGCAGATGGATTATGACATGCCAAGGGTTTCTTTAGTTTAGAACCACCATGGATGTAAAGTAAAAAGAGTAGAGCCCAGGAAGGAGCCCATGTTTCCTGTGGATGATCAGAAGCTCTCAACACTGAGCTTCCAAAAATAATGGCAGCACGTGACTCAGGTATTCAATGTCCAGAGTGTGGCCCCCTCAACTTGTCAAGACTGCTGGGAAGATGTTATTTGGCTGGTTAAATTCATGATTGCCTCTGCATGGCACATTTCTCTGACACAGCACATCACCCTCCTCTCACACTGCTCAATGAAGTACATTTCCCCCATTGCTCTTTCAGCCGTACACTCTACCTATCGAGTCTGATCCGCAATACTCTTATACTACGTTTCACACACACAAACCACTGAGCCAATTGCGCACACCCCTGCCTCCACAAACTTGTGAGTGATGTCCACCAACACTTGCACCTCACACTTCTACACACTGGCTCTGACCCACACTCATACAAATGTTGGAAGCTAGAATCAGCATCGGGATCTGGCCAGGCACAACTGAGCTACTGCCAGGATGGGGGAATAAGTCAGTTTATGTCTTGAGGCCAAGGTCACAGACCAATTCTGCTGCAGGAACCTCACAGTGTGGTCGTGCATTCTTTATTCAATTGTATATGGTCTCCTCCTTGCCTCCTCTTCCTCTTTCTGAGGTGGCCTCAGATCTCAGGAGGCAATGTTATAGTCACTTATCATTAATAGATTGTGGAGGATGCTGCCCATCCATACCACCATGGAGACCTTTTGAGAATGCACTGCAAGGAACACACCAAGTGATCTAAATAGTGAAACCGCTACTTGGGGAGATTGATGACTTGCTCCATGGTATTGCAAGTGGCTCCATGTCTGTTATTACAAGTGCTCTGACCTTGTGCACTGGAAAGGTAGAAGAGAGATATGAGTAATGTCTACATCTTTTATACTGTTATTTTGGAGGCCTGAGTAGGAATCATTGACTGTTCAGAATAACAGACTTTCACTGAGATTAATTTCTTGATGTAGTCACATGTGAACTGCATATTAACAGAATGTGGTTGTGGTATTGTTCCCCACGGAAGTGGAGGGACTTGCAGGCCCATGGGCAGTACATTGGCTCAGTGGTTAGCACTGCTACTTTACAGCACCAGGAACTGTAGGTTCAATTCCACCCTTGGGAAACTGTCTGTCTGGAGTTTGCATGTTCTCCTGGTGTTGCGTGGATTTCTCCTGGGTGCTCCGGTGTTCTCCCACAGTCTGAGTTGTGCAAGTTAGGTGGATTGGCGTTGCTAAATTGCCCATAGTGTCCAGGGATGTGCAGATTATGTGGATTAGCCATGCAGGGATAGGGTGGGGGTGTGGGTCTGGGTGGGATGCTCTTCGGAAGGGTCAGTGTGGACTCAATGGGCTGAATGGCCTGCTTCCATACTGCCTGCTGCCACTGAGAAGGATCCCAATGTGTCAAAAGAAAAAGGGATGGTGATCTTCACAGTTACAGGGGAGCAACTGAGCCTCCTGATTAAACTGAATGAGGAGACACAATTTTATCACTACTTTCTTTGTGAAACAGTTTCCTGTGGCAGAGTTCCTGGTTCATTGCCGCAGTGGAGTGGTGCTTCTGGGAAACCAATTCGGGGTATGGCCTCCTAAGGAGAATACTTCATCGCCTCCTTCCTCACAGAGAGCTATCTCTCTGCCGCCTTCTCTATGTATCCTGCTCACATTGCATTGTGGTATTGTAAGTACTGCCCTCACACCTATGCTGAGCAAAGTTATTTTCTGCCTTCCTGTGGTCAATGAAAATCTTGAAGTTGCTCCTGCCACTCACCACTGAGCTTCCAACAACTTTGCCTGAGTGCAAATAAGTCAAAAACATCTGAGTGACCCTTTAGATAGCCCTGAAATATAGCCCTTCTTTCATACTTTTAGGATGAATAAGGATGACACGGCTCACACATTTGTTGAACAATTTTTGTCTCCTAACGTTTCATCAGTTCATTGGTTTCAGCGACATCATGGTGGTGTATGATCAGCGGTTGCAGGTCTACATGCCTGCACATGCTATTTCTGTCAATTTAATGAATGGGAGCTGCACAGCGAGAGGCCAACAGTCGCTCAAAAATGGCAAAACATCAGGTGGTGCCTTGTAACACACAGTGATTTTTAAACTTGACATGTTGGAGGAATGGATGGTTGTGCAGGTGAGCAAGTGTGGGATGGGATACAGGACAGCAGAGTGTTGGAGGAGCTGATATGTGTGGAGTGATACGGTAAATTAGGCCCATTTTCTCGAGGGTTAGGTACGATGAGAGGTAATCTAATTGAAACCTATAAAATTCCTAAGGAGCTTGACAAAGTTGATGTTTCCACTGATGTGGAATGTGGAATATGGAAATATGGGGTCACAGACCCAGAATAAGGGGATGACCATTTAGAACTGTGATGAAGAGAAATGTCTTCATTCAAAAGGCTGTAAGTCCTTGGAACTCTCAACTGCAGACAGCTGTTAATGCTTAATGGGTGAGCATATTCAAATCAGAGATGGATAGTTTATTGGATAGTAGGTCAAGGCACTCAGTGGCTTAATCTTGATCTCATTTATTATGTTCTTATACAGCAGAGCATTGGAATAGTTAAGTCTGGAGATGACAAAGGTATGCATGATGATTAAACTTAGCTCTAGAGCAAGTGATGTTGCAGAGGTGCAAGAAGGCAGTATTTGTGATGGGGAGAATGTGGTGTCAGTAGCTCAGCTTGGCATTAGTTAAGATGCTGTGGTGGAGAACAAGCTGGGTCAGTCAGAGACAATAACAATGCTGGGATGGAATCAGTAGCCAGAGCACATAACTTGTGGCTTCTGTCTTCCAAATCTTGAAGTCCAGGAAATATTGTCCATCCAGGACTGGAGATGTTGTCATCATGCAGTCTGACTACACAGAGGTAGCAGAACAGTTAATAACAGTCTTGGAGAGGTGACAGTTCAAATAGAAGCTGACCCAATGTCTGCAGATGTTGTTACCAAGGGGAAGCATGTAGGTGAAAAACAAGAGGACACTAAAGATCAATCTTTAGGGCAATTTGAAAGGTAAAATGCAATGGTATGTAGAAAAGTCATCACTGGATTCACCCTGGCTATTATTGAATAAGTCGGAA